TTTTTCTTCCCGCTTTTTACCTCCCGTTTTTTCCCCCCCAGGGGTTTTCCGGGATTTTCCCTCCCTCACTGCCCATCCTTGGAAAAGCTTTTCCCGATGGCGTTCTTGAAGAGCGTCACCAGCGGCCTCCGCATCCGCTCCGAGCTCATGAATCCCCCGTAACGCTTTTCCTTCCGGGAATCCCAGGGGAATTCCCAACCTCCTTCCTCCCCCTCTTCCCCTTCACCCCACGGCTCTTCCCGCCGGAATTCCGGCTGGGAATTCTCCTCCCACTCCTCCTGGGCTCCGTTGGGGTAGACCTTGACCGGCCTCCTCTTGCGCCCCACGGGTTTTCCCCATCGGAAGTGCTCCATGGAATACGAGCGCTTCCCGTCTCTTCCCGCCTCTTCCCAGATCCGGGAAAGAGCTGGGGTTCCGGGCGGGAATTCCCGTTTCCGGGCGCCGGGATCGCTGCTGTTCCTGCGGCCGAAGCGGTTCCATCGGAAGTGGCTCATCACGTAGCCGCGGGCTCCCACCGCCGGCAGCGGCTGCCGCTCCCCGTTCCCGGGGAAAACCGGAGATTCCCAGGAGAGCCGGGAGCCGCAGGAGCCCGGGCAGGCCTGCAGGGAGACGGCGGAATTCCCATCGGAGCGGGAATTCCGGGGAATTCCCAAATATCCCGGTGGTTTTTTGGGTTTTTTGGGTTTTTTTTGGTTTTTTAATGGGAATTTCCCAACCCTCCCCCCGTTCCCGAACGATTCCCATCGGGAATTCCCAAATCCCAGCATTTTTTAATGGGAATTTCCCAACCCTCCCCCTCTTCCCAAACGATTACCATCGGGAATCCCAAATCCCGGAATTCCCATTCCCCTCTTGATTCCAAGGAATTCCCAGATCCCGCCATTTTTTAATGGGAATTTCCCAACCCTCCCCCCGTTCCCGAACGATTCCCAGTGGGAATTCCCGAATTCCCGCTCCTCGCGTAATTCCAGAAAATTCCCAAATCCCAGCATTTTTTAATGGGAATTTCCCAATCCCTCCCCTCATTCCCAAATGATTCCCAGTGGGAATTCCCAAATCCCAGAATTCCCTTTCCCCTTTTGATTCCCAGGAATTCCCAGATCCCACCATTTTTTAATGGGAATTTCCCAACCCTCCCTGTGTTCCCAAACGATTCCCATCGGGAATCCCAAATCCCAGAATTCCCATTCCCCTCTTGATTCCTGGGAATTCCCAGATCCCGCCATTTTTTAATGGGAATCTCCCAACCCTCCCCCCGTTCCCCAATGATTCCCAGTGGGAATTCCATCCCGGAATTCCCATTCCTCGCGTGATCCCAAGGAATTCCCAAATTTTGGGAATTCCCAAATGCCGTTCCATCCCGGAATTCCCGTTCCCCTCTTGATTCCCAGGAATTCCCAAATTTCCCAGCGTTTTTTAATGGGAATTTCCCAAACCTCCCCTCATTCCCAAATGATTCCCACTGGGAATTCCCAAATCCCAAAATTCCCGTTCCTCTCGTGATTCCCAGGAATTCCCAAATTTCCCAGCATTTTTTAATGGGAATCTCCCAGTTCCTCCCCCCATTCCCGAACGATTCCCAGTGGGAATTCCCAAATCCCAGAATTCCCGTTCCCCTCTTGATTCCCAGGAATTCCCCAATCCCGTTCCATCCCGGAATTCCCGTTCCTCGCATAATTCCCAGGAATTCCCAAATCCCAGCGTTTTTTAATGGGAATTTCCCAATTTCTCCCCCCCGTTCCTGAATTATTCCCACCAGGAATTCCATCCCGGAATTCCCATTCCTCACGTGATCCCAAGGAATTCCCAAATTTTGGGAATTCCCAAATGCCATTCCATCCCAGAATTCCAGTTCCCGGCTTGATTCCCAGGAATTCCCAAATCCCAGCATTTTTTCACCAGGAATTCCATCCCGGAATTCCCATTCCTCACGTGATCCCAAGGAATTCCCAAATTTTGGGAATTCCCAAATGCCGTTCCATCCCGGAATTCCCGTTCCCCTCTTGATTCCCAGGAATTCCCAAATTTCCCAGCATTTTTTTAATGGGAATTTCCCAACCCTCCCCCCATTCCCGAACGATTCCCACCGGGAATTCCCAAGTCCCAGAATTCCCGTTCCTCTCGTGATCCCAGAGAATTCCCAAATCCCGTTCCATCCCGGAATTCCCGTTCCCCTCGTGATCCCCAGGAATTCCCAGATCCCGTTCCATCCCAGAATTCCCGTTCCTGGCTTGATTCCCGGGAATTCCCAAATCTGGGAATTCCCAGATCCCATTCCACCCCGGAATTCCCAGAATTCCCAACCTGATTCCCAGGAATTCCCAGATCCCGCCATTTTTTTCCCCTGGAATTTCCCAATCCCTCCCCCCATTCCCAAGCGATTCCCACCGGGAATTCTGGGATGGAACAGGATTTGGGAATTCCCAGATTTGGGAATTTTTTTGGGGGGGAATATTTTGGATTTTTTGGGATTTGATCCTAAAAAAATCTGAAAGATTCCCAAAAAAAAAAAAAAAATCATCTCTGGGTAAATTCCCGTTCCCAAATCCCTCCATTTTTTAGGGAATTTTTGGGATTTGATTCCCAAAACTCTCGATTTTTAGGGATTTTTAGGATTTAATTCCCCAAACCCTTCAATTTTTAGGGAATTTTTGGGATTTAATTCCCAAAATCCCTCAATTTTTTTGAATTTTTGGGATTTAATTGCCAAATCCCGCCATTTTTTTAGGGAATTTTTTAGTTTTGGGATTTAATTCCCAAAATCCCTCAATTTTTTTGAATTTTTGGGATTTAATTGCCAAATCCCGCCATTTTTTTAGGGAATTTTTTAGAATTATTTCCATTTTTTAGGGAATTTTTGGGATTTATTTTCATTTTTTAGGGATTTTTTGGGATTTATTCCCAAACCCCTCAATTTTTAGGGAATTTTTGGGGTTTAATTCCCAAATCCCGCCATTTTTTAGGGAATTTTTGGGATTTAATTCCCCAAATCCCTCAAATATTTGGGATTTTTGGGATTTAATCCCAAAATCCCTTCATTTTTTTTAATCTTTGGGATTTGATTCCCAAATCCCTCAAATTTTTTTTGGATTTTCACGATTTGATCCCAAAAAATCTTTAGGAAAATTCCCATTCCCAAATCCCTCAAATATTTGGGGGAATTTTTGGGAATTAATTCCCAAACCCTTCAATATTTAGGGATTTACTCCCAAAACCCCTCAATTTTTTTAGAGAATTTTTGGGATTTATTTCCATTTCTTAGGGATTTACTCCCAAAACCCCTCAATTTTTTTAGAGAATTTTTGGGATTTATTTCCATTTCTTAGGGAATTTTTGGGAATTATTTCCATGTTTTTGGGAATTTTTGGGAATTATTTCCATTTTTTTTTAAATTATTTCCATTTTTTGTGGAATTTTTGGGAATTATTTCCATTTTTTAGGGAATTTTTGGGAATGATTTCCATTTTTTAGGGAATTATTTCAATTTTTTAGGGAATTTTTTGGGAATTATTTCCATTTTTTGAGGAATTTTTGGGAATGATTTCCATTTTTGAGGAATTTTGGGAATTATTTACATTATTTCGGGAATCTTTAGGATTTAATTCCATTTTTTAGGGAATTTTTGGGAATTATTTCCATTTTTAGGGAATTTTTGGGAATCATTTCCATTTTTTAGGGAATTTTTGGGAAATCATTTCCATTTTTTAGGGAATTTTTAGGATTTAATTCCATTTTTTAGGGAATTTTTGGGAATCGTTTCCATTTTTAGGGAATTTTTGGGAATAATTTCCATTTTTTTTGGAATTATTTCCATTTTTGGGTAATTTTTGGGAATTATTTCCATTTTTTAGGGAATTTTTAGGAATTATTTCCATTTTTTTTTGAATGATTTCCATTTTTAGGGTATTTTGGGAATTATTTCCATTTTTTAGGGAATTTTTTGGGAATTATTTCCATTTTTTAGGGAATTTTTGGGAATTATTTCCATTTTTTGGGGAATTATTTCCATTTTTTTGGGAATTATTTTGGAATTATTTCCATTTTTTAGGGAATTTTTAGGATTAAATTATTTAATTCAATTTTTTGGGGAATTTTTGGTAATAATTTCCATTTTTTTTAATTATTTCCATTTTTTGTGGAATTTTTGTGAATTATTTCCGTTTTTTAGGGAATTTTGGGGAATTATTTCCATTTTTAGGGAATTTTTGGGAATCATTTCCATTTTTTAGGGAATTTTTGGGAAATCATTTCCATTTTTTAGGGAATTTTTAGGATTTAATTCCATTTTTTAGGGAATTTTTGGGAATCGTTTCCATTTTTAGGGAATTTTTGGGAATAATTTCCATTTTTTTTGGAATTATTTCCATTTTTGGGTAATTTTTGGGAATTATTTCCATTTTTTAGGGAATTTTTAGGAATTATTTCCATTTTTTTTTGAATGATTTCCATTTTTAGGGTATTTTGGGAATTATTTCCATTTTTTAGGGAATTTTTTGGGAATTATTTCCATTTTTTAGGGAATTTTTGGGAATTATTTCCATTTTTTGGGGAATTATTTCCATTTTTTTGGGAATTATTTCCGTTTTTGGGGAATTTTTGGGAATCATTTCCATTTTTTAGGGAATTTTTGGTAATTATTTCTATTTTTTAGGGAATTTTGGGAATAATTTCCATTTTTTGGGGAATTTTTAGGATTTAATTCCATTTTTTAGGGAATTTTTGGGAATAATTTCCATTTTTTGGGAATTTTTGGGAATCATTTCCATTTTTTTGGGAATTATTTCCATTTTTGGGGAATTATTTCCATTTTTTTGGGGAATTTTTGGGAATTATTTCCATTTTTTAGGGAATTTTTTTGATTTAATTCCATTTTTTCGGGAATTTTTAGGATTTAATTCCATTTTTTCGGGAATATTTGGGAATTATTTCCATTTTTTTTGAAATTATTTCCATTTTTTCGGGAATTTTTAGGATTAAATTCCATTTTTCGGGAATTTTTGGGAATCATTTCCATTTTTTTGGAATCATTTCCATTTTTTAGGGAATTTTGGGAATCATTTCCATTTTTTTAGGGAATTTTTGGGAATCATTTCCATTTTTTCGGGAATTTTTGGGATTTAATTCCATTTTTTGGGGAATTTTTGGGATTTAATTCCATTTTTTCGGGAATTTTTGGGAATCACTTCCATTTTTTCGGGAATTTTTAGGATTTAATTCCATTTTTTAGGTAATTTTTGGAATAATTTCCATTTTTTTGGGAATCATTTCCATTTTTTGGGGAATTTTTTGGGATTTAATTCCATTTTTTCGGGTGGGGAATTTGATCCCGTATTTCTCCCATCCCCAATTCCCGAGGATTTTACCGGAATTCCGGCCTCTCCTCCTGGATCCCGACACTCCGGGTTCTCCGGGCACGGATCCCAGGCTCCCGCGGAATTCCAGAGGATCAGGACCAGCGCCACCGGAACCATTCCCGACCCCATCCCGGCCCGGGAAAACGGGAATCAGCTGCCGGAAAAATCCCCAAAAAAAAAAATCCCCGCTGAGAAATTCCCGGGAATTCCTCATTTTTCCCCCTGCCTCAGTTTCCCCGTGCCTCAGTTTCCCTCTGGAAAAATCCCCTCCTCCCTTTTTCCGGGATCTGGGATCGATTTCCATGGGAAAATCCCAATTTTTTCCCGGATTTGGGAATGTTCTGGAAGGATTTATTCCCATGTTTTTTTTAGGGATCCCCTTTCCTGTTCCCGTGCCTCAGTTTCCCTCTGGATAAATCCCCTCCTCCCGTTTTCCGGGATCTGGGATCGATTTCCGTGGGAAAATCCCATTTTTTTTCCCGGATCTGGGAATGTTCTGGAAGGAATTTTTCCTCCCTTTCTTATCTCCGTGCCTCAGTTTCCCTCTGGAAAAATCCCCTCCTCCCTTTTTCCGGGATCTGGGATCGATTTCCCACAATTCCCCTAAAATTCCCGGTTTTCCAGAGGGAAACTGAGGCACGGATTTTCCTAGATCTGGGAATGTTCTGGAAGGAATTTTCCCCCCCCTTTTTTTTTTTGTGCCTCAGTTTCCCTCTGGAAAAATCCCCTCCTCCCGTTTTCCGGGATCTGGGATCGATTTCCCACAATTCCCGGTAAAATTCCCGGTTTTCCGCAGGGAAACTGAGGCACGGATTTTCCCAGATCTGGGAATGTTCTGGAAGGAATTTCTCCCCTTTTTTTTCCCCCCGTGCCTCAGTTTCCCTCTGGAAAAATCCCTCCTCCCGTTTTCCGGGATCTGGGATCGATTTCCATGGGAAAATCCCAATTTTTTCCCGGGTTTGGGAATGTTCTGGAAGGAATTTTTCCCATTTTTTTGGGTCTTTTTTTATGGATCCCTTTCGTTTTTCCCCGTGCCTCAGTTTCCCTCCGGAAAACCGGGAATTTTGGGATGGGTTTCCCATTAAAATCCCGATTTGGGAAAATTCCCTCCCCAGCATTCCCGGATTTGGGAAAAATCGGGATTTTCCCCATGGAAATCCATCCCAGATCCCGGAAAACGGGAGGAGGGGATTTTTCCAGAGGGAAACTGAGGCACAAAAAAAAAAGGGGGGGAAAATTCCTTCCAGAACATTCCCAGATCTAGGAAAACCCGTGCCTCAGTTTCCCTGCGGAAAACCGGGAATTTTAACAGGGAATTGTGGAAAATCGATCCCAAATCCCGGAAAACGGGAGGAGGGATTTTTCCAGAGGGAAACTGAGGCACGGGAAAGAGATCCACCGTCCCCGAAAAAAAAAATATGGAAAAATTCCTTCCTGAGAATTCCCAGATTTTGGAAAAATGGGATAAAGAAATTTTCCTTCCGGAACATTCCCAGATCTGGGAAAAAAAAACTCCAAAAAATCCCACCCGTGCCTCAGTTTCCCTCTGGAAAAATCCCTCCCATTTTCCCGGTGGGGATGGGATCATTTTCCCATCATTCCCTGTAAAATTCCCGGTTTTCCAGAGGGAAACTGAGGCAGGGGAAAGGGATGAGGATCCCTAAAAAAAAAATGGGAAAAAAATTCCCTCCCCAGCATTCCCAGGTTTGGGAAAATCCGTGCCTCAGTTTCCCCCTGGAAAACCGGGAATTTTAACAGGGAATTGTGGGAATCGATCCCAGATCCCGGAAAACCGGAGGAGGGGATTTTTCCAGAGGGAAACTGAGGCACAAAAAAAAAAGGGGGGGAAAATTCCTTCCAGAACATTCCCAGATCTAGGGAAATCCGTGCCTCAGTTTCCCTCTGGGAAAACTGGGAATTTTAACAGGGAATTGTGGGAAATCGATCCCAAATCCCGGAAAACGAGAGGATTTTTCAAGAGGGAAACTGAGGCACGGGAAAGAGATCCACCGTCCCCGAAAAAAAAAATATGGAAAAATTCCTTCCTGAGAATTCCCAGATTTTGGAAAAATGGGATAAAGAAATTTCCCTTCCGGAACATTCCCAGATCTGGGAAAAAAAAACTCCAAAAAATCCCACCCGTGCCTCAGTTTCCCTCTGGAAAAATCCCCCCTCCGGTTTTCCGGGATTTGGGATCGATTTCCCATGGAAAAAAAAAAACAAACCGGGAAAAATAGCAGGAAAAAAATTCGGGATTTAAAGGGGGGAAAAAAACCGGGAATGGTTTAAAATTTTGGGATAAAAAATCGGGAAAAATTTGGAATTTCCAGAGGGGAAAAACCTGGAAAAATCTGCTGGGATTCCCGGATTTTTTCGGGAAAAATTTGGGATTCCCAGAATTTTTTTAGGGAAAAATTCGGGATTTTTTAGGGAAAATTCTGAGGATTCCCAGGAATTTTTTTAGGGAAAAATTTGGAATTTCCAGAGGGGAAAAACCTGGAAAACCCTGCTGGGATTCCCGGATTTTTTCAGGGAAAAATCCGAGGATTCCCAGATTTTTTTAGGGAAAAATTTGGGATTTGAAGAGGGAAAAACCTGGAAAAAATTTTGGGATTCCCGGATTTTTTAAGGGGAAAGTCCGAGGATTCCCAGAATTCTTTTAGGGAAAAATTCGGGATTTTTTAGGGAAAATTCTGAGGATTCCCAGGAATTTTTTAGGGAAAAATTTGGAATTTCCAGAGGGGAAAAGCCTGGAAAACCCTGCTGGGATTCCCGGATTTTTTTAGGGAAAAGTCCGAAGATTCCCGGATTTTTTTAAGGAAAAATTTGGGATTTGAAGAGGGAAAAACCTGGAAAAAACTTTCGGGATTCCCGGATTTTTTAGGGAAAAATTTGGGATTTTCAATGAGCAAAACCTGCCAGAATTCCCAGGTTTTTGTTAAGGAAAAATCCGGGATTTGCAGAGGGGAAAACCCTTTGGAATATTTATATTTATATTTATATTTATATTTATATTTATATTTATATTTATATTTATATTTATATTTATATTTATATTTACATTTACATTTACATTTACATTTATATTTAATTTATATTTATATTTAATTTATATTCATATTTATTTTATATTTATATTTATTTTTATTTTTTATTTTTTATTTTTTTTATTTATTTTATAGTTATTTTTTATTTATTTTTAATTTATTTTTATATTTGTATTTTTATTTATATTTTAGTATTTATATTTTAGTATTTATATATTTTTTATACTTATATTTACATTTATATTTATTTTATTTTACTTTATGCTTTATTTCATTTTATATTTTATTTCATTTCGTTTTATATTTTATTTTATTTCTATTTTATTTAATTTTATACTTTATTTTATATTTTATTTCGTTTCGTTTCATTTCATTTCATACTTTATTTTATTTTATCTCATTTTATATTTTATTTATATTTTATTTCATTTTATCTCATTTTATTTTATATTTTATTTTATTTTATACGTCATTTTATATTTTATTTTATTTTATATTCTATTATATTTTATTTTACATTTTATTTTCTTTTATATTTTCTTTTATATTTTATATTTTCTTTTATATTTTTTTATTTTATCTAATTTAATTTAATTTAATTTAATTTAATTTAATTTTATATTTCATCTAATTTCATTTCATTTTATCTCATTTTATATTTAATTTAATTTAATTTCATTTCATTTCATATTTTATTTAATTTCATTTTCTATTTTATTTCTATTTTATTTCTATTTTATGTCTATTTTATCTCTATTTTATCTCTATTTTATTTCTATTTTATTTCTATTATATCTCCTTTTATTTTATTTTATATTTTGTTTTATTTTATATTTTATTTTACATTTTCTTTTACATTTTATTTTATATTTTATTTTACATTTTATTTTATATTTTATTTTACATTTTATTATATATTTTATTATATATTTAATTTTATTTTATATTTTATTTTACATTTTATATTTCATTTTATTTTATATTTTATTTTATATTTTATTTTTCATTTTATTTTATATTTTATTTTACATTTTATTTTATATTTCATTTTATTTTACATTTTATTTTACATTTTATTTTATATTTTATTTTACATTTTATTATATATTTCATTTTATTTCATATTTAATTTTCCCTCCCATTCCCTTTCCCGTGGATTTACCTGGGGACGGGATCCCGGCCGCTCCTTTCCCGCTTTTTTTTTGGGATCCGGAGCCTCCCCAGCGCTCCCGCGGCTCCTCCGACCCCGAGTGGATTTATTTCGTTTATTTATCCCGATCCCGAGTGGATTTATTTCATTTATTTGTCCCGATCCCGCTTTTATTCATCCCCAGGGAGGGAGGGAGG